GCATGTCTTACATTCCATAGTACCGTATGGTACGTAATTGAAGTGCAGCTCCTGTATCCGTATCATTTGCAACGGGTGCAGGGTATTTTGCCTTCCGATCACTCAACACGGAAGAACTTTTGCCGATGGTATATTGCACAAACAACCGTTCTGTTGCTTCGTCTCTTCAGTCTTGTTTGCGGATGAAGCAACATTTGTGGACAAATGGAATAACAAATTTACACAACCAACATTCGTGCGCAGATCGGAATCCCCCTGCTACAATACAGGCTAAACACCAGCGTTAGTTTACGATTAATGTGTGGGCTGGAATTGTAGGTGACTGTCTCGTAGGTTCATATGTTTTCCCAGCACGTCTTACAGATGTCTACGGGGACGTTTTTTGCACACACACTTGCTAAAGGATGTATCCCTGCTAATAAAAAGCCGCGTGTGGTTCATTCATAATGGGACTCTAGCACATTTTAGTCACATTGTTCGCGATGCACTGACTGATATCCACTATGAAAGATAGATAGGTAGGAGATGACCGGTTTCATGGCCTGCACGTTCCACCGACCTCAATCCTTTGGATTCTTATCTCTGGGGCAACCGAAAACGATTGGTTTATGCAGCAGACATTAATAAGGCAGAGACGCTTCATCAACGTATCATGTTGGCCTGCGACACCCGATGGGAATATTTGAAAAGGTTCGCCAGTCAATAATTCGACGGGTACATGAGTGTGTCGAAGCAAGCGGAGGACATTTTGAATATGTGTTAGAAGTTGCTCTGTTGAAGTACAGCAATGGCATTTTGGTTTGTTTGGTTTGTTTTATTTAACGGCATATCAACACCTCAATGGGTTACTTAATACCGACAACTTTTTTTTTCCTGGTAATATGTTGTTTTGTCAAAAATCTATTTCTGGTAATATTTTTGCTCTTCAAAAATGTAGAGCTATCAATATTATTTAAAAAAATGTATTACTGGTAATAGTTTTTTTTTATCTTGAAAAATTTATTTCTGGTAATAATTTTTTAAAGTATTTGTGGTATTAAAACCTATTTTTACACTTTCATAAGACCTTTTACTTCAGTTTGGGGTTAACTATTTATCCATAGCTGGGACCCTAACAGGTGCTACCACCCCGGGTCAGGGTGGACCTGGGAACACCAGCAATTAAGAGATTGTTCCATGGTCCTCAAAACATCCTGATCAGAAGCCTTGCCGTTGGACGTAGTTTATCGTCTTACCCTGGACGTGGATGTAGTTTATCGTCATACCCAGGACGGTGGCCTTTTGGAGATATGTTTATATGGGTATTTTAACTTGTTTTCGTGTCAGGAACCCAAATTTTTATAAAAGTCTTTTGAGATTATATCTTGGATTGTAAATTTAAAAGCAAAGGATTTGTGGACTTACGTTTATATAGATTTTTGTCCTTGTTTTGGTGTAAGGAACCCGCCCCCAAAGCTTGTAAAAGTCTTTTTTTCATAAACGCTGTATATCTACAGTATATAATCTTAAAAGTTATTTTTTAGTAGATACCCAGATTCTCCTAGAGGCTCTGTTTCTTTTATCTACCCGTCTGAATATTCGAGACATCTTAAGAAAAAGAAAGAAATGCGCCATCAGAAGGGAATCAAATTTGCGTTCCTCTTTGCAGAAGAAAAGCGGGTCGCAGGTTCAAAGACTGCCAGGGGTCACATCATTTTTTTTTTTTTTTTCATTAACAAGTTTTCTCGCATGTTCAAACCGGAAGACGGCAATAAATACTGTTTAAAATATAAATGGAGCGCCTCTAATTTTATTTCAAACGCCTGGGGAAAAAAAAGGTACAAAATGTATGTTTTATCGATGATTCGTCACATATCGAACAAGTGAAATTTATTTACTGAAAAAAAAGTTTGAACAAAGCAACTATAAACAATTTTTTTTTCTATCCTCTGCCAGCCGCAATGATGGAGAAAGCATTACCTCGTATCATCGCCAGTGAGACACGCTGCAAGAGCCACTCCGTTTCGCGAGGCCCGTCCCTTAATCGAGACACAATCGCGCCAATCCTCCGAAGGAACGTCATCGAACGAGGGCCAATAACTCCAGAAGTCTCCACTGCCACAGGAGTAAAAAAATCTATCAGCAAGAAAAGAATATTTAACTAATTTTTTTTTTATCTCTGCGTCCCGGGACCTGATCAAATGTATCCGCAGAGGTCGTATATTTATGAATGGATAAAATGTGAATGAATGATTCTTTTTTGTCTTTTTCACATATTTTAGTCGGTATATGGTACCGAACAAGTGAGTAATCAGATATTGAATAGCAAGATGGTGACAAACTGTGGGTAGCCTGTGAACTGTACTTTCGAGACCCTGCGTTAAATCCTTGACCAAAGATAACTAATGAATTATAACAAAACAAATATTAGGTTAGGAATATCATTTTCAAAGAAGATACTGTTAGATGATATTGATGAAATCATCATAAGCACTTAGGACGAATGATGGTCTTCGTTTTACGTGTCATCACGAAGACACGGGAGTTCTTTGATGAAATTCAAAGAGATGTGCAGAGAGTTTGACGAAGACCGGCAAATGTAAAATCTCGTTATGTGGTCTGAAGTTCAACACTCACATTAATGGCATCCTCACAAAGCTTAAGTAACGTGTTATCAACGCGTGCATGTTTACCTCAACAGCGCTGAAAAGGGAAAGACCTGCACGTGTAGGATTTCCTCATCCGCACGCCTTAGTCACAGAAACCGAGGAAAAAATTATCGTAATTTGTATTCGGATATATATTACAGGAGTGGCTTTTATTTGTTTTCTAACTCCGGTTCAGCTTGCTTGTGGAATGAATAAATCCGCGTTCTGTGTTCTTTTCTGGAGTGTCAACCACGCAATCTATCGTGTTCTTTCACACGAACAAAAGTTGATTATATTATATAGGTACTACAGTTAATTACTCCAGGATATGACGATAATCTACATCCAACAGCAAGGCAGCTTATCAGAATATTAAATGTGTTGAGAAGGGTGGAACCACCTCTTAATTACTGTTGTTCCCAGGTCCTCTCTGACCCGACGTGGTAGCACCTGTTAGGGTCCCAGCTACAGGCAAATAGTAAACCCCCTAAAAAAACCAAAACATTATGAAGGTATAAAAATATATTTTCATAGTAAAAATACCACCAATACATATTTATATTAAAAAAAATTACCATTGATACATATAGTAATCTGACCAACAATATTTATTTTTAGTTAACTTACCAAAAATACTTATTTATTGTAATATGTCCAACAACACATTTTATAGCAAAATGACAAACAATACCTATTTATAGTAAACTGACGAACAATACTTATTTATAATAAAATGACCAACAATCCCTATTCATATTTAACTGACTAACAATACCTATTTATAATAAAATGACCAACAATACATTTTATAGCAAATTGATAAACAATACCTATTTGTAATAACTTGACGAACAATACCTATTTATAGTAAAATGGCCAAAAATACCTGTTTATTGCAAAATGACCAACAATACCTATTTATTGTAAAATGACAAACAATACATTTTATAGCAAAATGAAAAACAATACCTATTTATAGTAAAATGACGAACAATACCAATTTATTATAAAATGACCAACAATACATTTTATAGCAAAACGGCCAAAAGTACGTATTCATAGTAAAATGACCAACAATGCATTTTATATTAAACTGAAAAACAATACCTATTTATAGTAAACTGACAAACAATAAATATTTATAATAAAATGATCAACAATAGATTTTACAGAAAAATGACCAACAGTACCTATTTATAGTAAAATAACCACCAATATATTTTATCGGCAGTTGAAAGCATACAATTGCGTTCAAAATATATTTAGTTGAGACCATAAAATTATGTCAAAATATTTAGATTTTGATATTAAATATCCCATAGAGGTGTTGATATGCCGCTAAATAAAACAACTAATACAACTATAATTAATCGAAATGAGTTTCCAACTGAAAAATATAGTATAGAATGAGTTCTTCCTTTACATTTAATATTGTTATGTTATGGAAAAATGTAGCTACAAATACTGGTAGCCTACGATATCTGGAGCGTGGGCGAATATTAGCCTCCCAAAGTTAGGCTATATCTTGAAAAGAAAAACATCAGACGAAAAAATGGCGTACTGTTGCCATATCTGGGTTCTAGTTGCTCAGTCATCACTTTCTAGTCTTTAGGTGGTCTTGTTGGCAATTAATGATTTTAATCCCTGCCACTTCCTTCTCACAGACGAAACGTCGCCGGAATGTGCTCGAAAAAGGTGAGTAAACGACCATTATATATATATATATATATATATATATATATATATATATATATATATATATATATATATGTGTGTGTGTGTGTGTGTGTGTGTGTGTGTGTGTGTGTAATAATTGTGTATTTGGGCAGCAATCCTTCTTTTTTATACAAGTTTCACTAAAGACGTCTATCAAGTTACTGTGATTAAACATTTATTAAATTTTTCTTGTGTTCATATAACTGATTTCTTGTCTGGACTTAAAGTTTGGAAAATTGTCCGAATGTTCTGTGAATGACGATTTTTATTTTTAAGTGAATCTGTAGTTTTTTTTTTAGTATGTATCTAGAGCTATGGGATTCTTTTTTTTTTTTCCAAACACGGTCGGCACATTGTAGCCATGTTTCATATTTGATGTTATTGGGTATTTCTTTTTTATTATTAGTGCTTATATTATTTTAGGTATATTTTTTACATGTGGATGAGGCTATTATAGTTATATTTTCATTGAGTATGTTCGGAATGGAATTTGGTAGATGCCGTAAGAAAAAGTTCAAGTAAACACAGACGGAGACTTAGGAAACTCCAAAAGGGCTCAGATAGAAGGTTCGGACAATTTTTATATACTTTATATCCAGAAAAGAAAACATATCTACGAACACAAGAAAAACTGAATAAAAAGCTTAATAGCAGTACCTTGTCTGTCGTCGTTAATGAAGTATATATATATATATATATATATATAGATAGATAGATAGATAGATAGATAGATAGATAGATAGATAAAGAGAGAGAGAGAGATAGAGAGAGAGATAGAGTAAACCTAAAGAGCCAGATAATCCTACCTAGGTTTCACCTACGCGGATCGTCAGGGTGGACTGGGGTTATTTTTCTTTAAACTCTGAACTTAGATTCTAGACGATTATCGTCACCGGAAGTACATGTTCTTAGTTCTTTCTTTTTTTTTACCCTTTTTTTTTCCTTGGGTATTGGTTTGTTCATTTACAAGCTAAAACACATAAGGTTTTGCTGGACGAGTATAGCTGCTTATATTTATAAGATTATTAGTGTTATATATATATATATATATATATATATATATATATATATATATATATATAATTATATATATATATATATATGTATATATATATATATATATATATATATATATATATATATATATATAAAATAGAGACATAGAGAGAAGGTGGCGTTGATATATTTTTAATAAATGAACTCTATATCCTGGTTTATGGTCAGATTATCTGCCCAGGAATTTCAAAGTACAGCAGTCTTCTCCGCGAATCATTTCAAACGAAAATTATGCGCATGATAATAATTTCCAGTTGCAATCCAAGTAAATTTGCAAACATTAACGGTTGCAACTCCTACTAAAGTTTACTGTCTTCCATTTTTAGAGACGGTGTCTCTTTGCCGCTGGCAGTGACCTTCCCCAGCTAAGCAAATGAAAGATGTGAACCGCAAAAACAGTTTGTCTTTGTATGCACCACGTCATGTCACCTTCATCTATTCTCTTATGGTAATTTACCCTCACACGCTTGGACTCTCCCAGCTATAAATAGGAGCAGGTACTGCCTTTTAGAGAGAGAAGTTTCCAGCCGTCAGCTCTGATAGTCAGACCGAACATTCTTGCTGCAACACTCTCTTTTTTATGTTTGTATTACTGTTTCTGTTAATATATTCGTTTAACTCAATTCCTCTCTTTGTGTCTTTATTTCTGGCCCTAACAAGGCCACAACAATTGAAAGGATTTTATTTTGCATGGGAAATACATTTTCATAATTTTAAAAAATTCATTGGAAAGGGACTTTGAAAAATGTATTGGGAAAAGGGATTTCATTTTACATTGGAAGGGAAAATTATGAAAATGCATTGGAAGGGATTTTACAATGAAAATGCATTGAAAGGGATTTTATTATGAAAATGTATTGGGAAGGGATTTTACTATGAAAATGTTGGAAATTTTATTATGAAAATGTATTGGGAAAAGATTTTACTATGAAAATGCATTGGAAAGGGATTTTACTATGAAAATGCATTGAAAGGGATTTTATTATGAAAATGTATTGGGAAGAGATTTTATATGAAAAGTATTGGAAGAGATTTTACTATGAAAATGCATTGGAAAGGGATTTTATTATGAAAATGCATTGGAAAGGGATTTTATTATGAAAATGTATTGGGAAGAGATTTTACTAAAAATGCATTGATTTTATTATGAAAATGCATTGGAAAGGGATTTTATTATGAAAATGTATTACAAAGGGATTTTATTATGAAAATGCAAAAGGATTTTATTATGAAAATGTATTGCAAAGGGATTTTTACTGTATTGAAAGGGATTTTACTATAAAATTTGGAAAGCGATTTTATTATGAAAATGCATTGGGGAGAGATTTTATTATGAAAATGCATTGATGTTATGGTAATTTACCCACGCACGCATGGACTCTCCCAGCTATAAATAGGAGCAGGTACTACCTTTTGGAGAGAGAAGTTTCCAGCCGTCAGCTCTGACAGTCGGACCGAGCATTCTTGCTGTAACACTCTCTTTTTTATGTTTGTATTACTGTTTCTGTTAATATATTTTTAACTCAATTCCTCATTATGTATCTTTATTTCTGGCCCTTGACAAGGCCACATTCCAAAGGGGAATTTTTCGCTCCATTTTACGTTGTCACTTTGTCTTCGCAGATTACGTTACCCTGCCGATTATAAATCTGGTAATTCCTTTAGTATTCCTAGGTTTTACTGGCTGTCCAAGTTAAACAAATTCAATAAAAGATAGCAAACTTGTTTTGTTCCCCTATTTATTTTTGTACATTCACGAAATTCGTCCTGTCGGCATCGGGCCGTTTGTTCCCAGGCGAACTTACGCATTACGAAAATATCTTTTTCGAGTAAATCTATTTTTTCTTATCAAATGCATTTTGTATACTAAAAATCATTCAATACAATGACCTTTCAGTTGTGACCTCCTGATACAGTTTTCCATATCTACTGTTCACTTTTTAAAACTTATTCTCTAGATGGTTCTTGAATGGACTTTGAAGATGAAAGCCAGATCATGAATGTGGGCATCATTACTAAAGGCCTGAATGATCTTTTTCCTCCCACCATTTCTCATTTGGGAAGACAGCGAGGCTGACACAACACGATTTTAATCTGTTCTCTAATAACTGAAAGGTTTTTTCACTGATTCTTACGACAAATAGTGTCAAGATCGCTAAATGTCTTATCTGAAAACCTGTAGAATTTTCTCAGGTATTAAACATTTTCTGGGATAGAAAATTATACAGTTAACAATTTGAACAATTTTGATGTTACACTCGCTATATATATATATATATACATACATATATATATATATATATATATATATATATATATATATATATATATATGTGTGTGTGTGTTTCTGTGTGCATGTGTCTGTGTGCGTATTTGTGTGTATGTGTGAATAAAAAGACTGTTATTTGCCTTGATAAAATGCTTCAGTGGTCGAAACGCCTTGGCTAAGAATAGTTTTTCTCTTGTCTATTTATTCATTTTGTTTCTTTATAGATACACCCTATATGAAAATAATTTACACACACAAACACACTATATATATATATATATATATATATATATATATATATATATATATATATATATATAGTTAAATTCCCAGATGAATTCTGTGGACAAGACAGATTGGTATAAAATGACAATTGGAAAAAATCTTAGATTTTGCCGACGCGTTTCGTCTTCCGACTTTTTCAAGGCAAAAATGAAATCGAAACGTTTTTGTTGTTATAGTTACATTAAAAAATCCAAATTTAAAAAGACAGACGCTTCTGCCTAAGCCTTCTTTTTTTTTGGTTCAAAAAAAATAATGTCCAATGGCTGCCAAATGTTTCCTTATAGGGAAGCGGCTAATATTAATACTACCCTCACGCCTATTATATTTTTAAATTATCTTTACATTTTACGGATTCCTTTGCGTATCTTTGAATTGAAAGCTTGAAAGAACTGTCCGCAGTTCGTGTCAATTTATGTAACGTTTCGTGCTTTCAACTCGCTTCATTTATGTTCAAGGATTAACGTTCTTTTTATGATCATTTTCCCGTCTCTGATGTCATTGTTACGCCCATTTTACTTGACAGATATGATGTGCTAATTATTTTGAATGTTTTAGTGTATTTAAACGTGAGGTCACGCGATCGAGAGGTTTATTTTTAAATTTTAAACGTTTGTGAGGGCATCGATTCAGCAGAGCATTGATTTTGAGGATTTCAATACATCTTCAAATGAATGCTCCCAAACTATTGTGAAGTGGTGGTGAGTCAGTTTGCAGAGGACGGTTTGACAATAGCAATAGCAAAGGGTTGAAAGGTTTCGAACGTAATGCATTTAAGACGTGGGCTATTTTTGTACATATTTCTATAGAAAGAACATGGCTACCAAAAGAGGAGAAAGAGAAAATTATTTCCACGTTTATACTTCTTCTACGTTTTCTTCGTGACATAAGCGATCATGGCTCTCCATAGCTTCCCATCTCGTGTGAGTCTTAGCGTCCCCCCCCCAGTGCTAAGCCTCCGCCAACGTTCCATCACATATTCAAAATGTCATGTAAGTACCTTGCTACATTTCCCTATTGCCTCAATATGCCCGATGAGGGTTAAGTTTTCCAAGCCCTCCTTCCTGATTTTGTATCCTGGAAATTCCAACTGTCTTTTCCTGATTCTGAGTCGAAGTGTGCCATTTTCTTCAAGACTTATTTTGTTGCTTATTCGCTCCATTCATGGAATTTTCAGTATCTTTCTGTAGAACCACATTTCTGCTGCCTCTATTTCGTCCTCATTCGTGGGAAGATGATCCAACATTCACTGCCATATAAGAGGATTGATTAAACATATCAATCAAGCCCCCTTTTTTATTTATTTCTAAAATCAAACATCGGGAGAGAAAAAAAAGAAATTCAAGGCACGCAGGACAGCGATATAATATCAATCCTCTTCTGTGACAGTAAATAGTAAACAGTTTCTTCATTGACGAAGAAAAGAGACGAGAGAAACATGATTCCACAGAATGAAGGTTAGAATACGACGGATAGTGCGAATAAGTGGCCAAAAACCTTTAGGGAAAATGGAAACGAGTTATGGAGTCCTCCCCTTTTTCATATAAGTGGACTCGACGTTACTTGGACTGCTGCCGTTAAATACCACGTTAATTAAAAAGGCCTTGCGCCACATGACGCCCTGGTGGGGTGTGATTGAATATCGTCAGAGTACAGAAACCAGTCAGTCAGTGAGTCGACTGGCTGATCGGTTGAACTCTCTGCCTTCGGGCGGGTAAGAACCCGAAAGAGGCTAAGCCAAAGGGCGGGTTCTCTTTCGGGGAGGTAAACCGACCCTGAACCCGTTTATACGGGTTCAATGGGCATATTTTTGGCCGAGCCCACGGGCTCGCAGAGCCCACGTTAAAAAGACCTTGTGCCACATGACGCCCTTGTGGGGGGTGATTGAATATCGTCAGAGTACAAAGACCATTCAGTCAGTCAGTCGACTGGCTGATCGGTTGAACTCTCTGCCTTCGGGTGGGAAGGAAGCCGAAAGAGGCTAAGCCGAAAGAGGCTGAGCCGAAGGGCGGGTTCTCTTTCGGGGAGGTAAACCGACGCTGAAAATGTTTACACAGGTTCAATGGGCATATTTTTGGCCGAGCCCACGGTATCGCATAGCCCACGTTAAAAAGACCTTGTGCCACATGACGCTCTCGGTGGTGGGAGTGACTGAACATCGTCAGAGTACAGAGACCAGTCAGTCGACTGGTTGATCGGTTGAACTCTCTGCCTTCGGGCGGGTAAGAACTCGAAATAGGCTAAGCCGAAGGGCGGATTCTCTTTCGGGGAAGGAAACCGACCCTGAACCCGTTTATACGGGTTCAATGGGCATATTTTTGGCCGAGCCCACGGGATCGTAGAGCCCACGTTATAAAGGCCGTGTGACACATGACGCCTTCGTGCGGGGAGGGGGGTAACTGAATATGGTCAGAGTACAGAGACGGAGAGATGGTGACTGAGTTGGAGGTAGAGTTATAGTGTGAGGTAACCGCTTGTCGAAGTCACAGTTACAAGCACGCCTGACTCTAAGGAAGTCCTACTTCGAGACTGTATGTATATCTATATATTTTTGCTACTAACCGCGTTCCTGGATTTACTAACAGTATTACCCTTTGTATTATTGTGTAAATGCATTTTATTTCTTATATTTATTTCTTGCGTCTGTCATTCATTGGAGACCGAATTTCATCTCGAAATCCACAACAAAACGTAAAAGGCATTTTTATTTAAAATCAGGAAGACAAAATGCGTGGTTGTTAGCAAAAGGGACAGTCCAAAAAGAAAATTACAAATCGTAGATACCAAAATCAAACAAGTACAAAAATTTAAATATCTGCGATTGTTTTAACAAAGTGCAAAGATGCATTCTAAAAGCTAAGCAGCGTATTAAGAAACAGAACAAAAAACTTCGTTAAAACAAAGTAAGGCGTACTGAACTTTTACATGATATCTGTCCTCCCATATGGCAGTGGATACTGGAAAATCTCCTCAAAGATGAAGAAGAGATTTGAAGTAGCAGAAAGGCGGTTCTACAGGAGGAGGATGGGAATGCCATGTTTTGAACATATGAGCAACGACAAGGTTTTTGAGAAAATGAAAAAAAATAAACTTATACTTGACATCAGGAAGAGACAGTTAAAATTTCTAAGGCACAATGAGGAAAGAATGTTTGGAAAATCTGATACTCATCGAACAAATTGAAGGCAAGAGGGACTGAGGAAAACAACAGGTAATATACATATAGGGATTCAGATGGCAGAACAGGGCTTATACAAAATAACAAAAAAAATGTTGAGCTACAAAAGATAGGAAATCGTAGAGAGTCATGTTTGCCCACGTCCTGAGGGGAAACGGCATCTAGAGAAGAAGAAGAATGCGGGTGGTGGACTTGGAGAATTTGGCAGTCAAAGGGCATATCGAAAAGTGGCAGAGAGAGAAAGTTGTGGAGAGCCATGATCTCCCACGTATTGAAGGGAGACGGCTCATAGGAATAAGAATAGGAGTGTGTGAGAGAGAGAGAGAGAGTGATAGAGAGAGAGCGAGAGATAAAGAGTGCGCTATGTGGTATGGTGAAATTTAGAAGTCGTATTGTCCCGGGACTATTTCTACGAAGGAAGACTGGGCAGATCTATGTACCTGCCGCATCCTGTGGGTGAGAGCCAGAAAGAAGGTGAGTGAAAGGGTGTATAGTCCATTCCCTTTTCTTGATCCTGAGCAGAACGCCATCGAACGATGTCAAGCGATCTCCAATGGCGTACAAAGAGGGGCAAATCTACAATATAAGGGCGTATGTTCAGGATTAGCTGTTTAAACTTAACATAGATAGCGCCTCAAATTTTATGGTAAAGTGGCTAAGATTGAATATCCGTACAAAGTATGTAACATGAAATTTGTGAAAACCAGTTGGATACTTAAATTTCATTTTTAATTTTTTTCTCAAGAAACGCAGTGAAAAATTTAATTCGCAAAACTTTTAATTACATATAATTTAATTTAATTACATATATTTTTTTTTTCATTTATTAAAATGAAAAAAAATCTATATGTAATTTTTGCAAAGGAAATGTCAGAATTAAAGGCAAAAATAGTCATATGATGTATGTTGGTCATAATGCTATAAAGTGTATTGTTGGTAATTCTTCTATGAAATGTACTGCTGGTAACTTTACTATAAATAGATATTGTTGTTAATTTTACTATAAATTTATATATATATTGAATCCAGTCCCGAATTCAAGCCATCATTTCAATCCAGCCATTACTGCATATCTGCAGCAAGTTTTGTTTACTTGTTTGCAAGACGTGGTTGTTTTTTTTTTTGTTTTGTTTTTTTGTTTTTTTTTTTTTTTTTTTTTTTTTTTTGGAAGGCCACTTGTCTACCGCAGAAAGAAATGGCAACCTACCACGGGAAAAGATATGCCTTGTCCGTCAGTATCGAAAGCTACATGATCGCCTAATCGTCTATCACATGGCACATAACTGACTGACTGACTCATCAATTTACAGTTAAATTGGCTAGATGCAACCGTAAATCCATTGCTAGCAGTTTCTTCTATCGCACTTCTCGCCTGTGGAACCTTACTTTCCAGCCAACTTTGATCTTCAAAAATTTAAATGCAATTTCAATTGTTATCTACTGTCTTCCTGATTCCTTTTCTTTTATTGTTCTCGATCATTAATGTTTTTATTTTTCTTATTCATTCATAATCAGTAACCTCGTATGTCTTAGTGACTTTCTTGCCTTGCTTGAGGTGAAATGATAAAAATAACAAAAAAAAAGGAAAATTAATAAAATGTTTAGCTACAGGATGTTTAAGTTATTTGGGGAATGATTGAAAACAGTAAAAAAAAAAAGTCTTTCAAACAAGTAAATGTATTGTAACAAAACTTGCTACAGAGATACAGTAATGGCTGGATTGAAATGATGGCTTCAATGCGGGACTGGATTCCTTGAAATACTTGTATCATATTGACTGCATTGATATTGAACATTCTCTCTGGTAATGGCGACTCCCAAGGGATCAGGCGTTTTGTGAAAACGTCGAATAGGTTCCTGTAAAATAACGATCTGCATGTTATACTTTATGTCTACCGAGTCCCAATGCAATGGAAGATGATTTTATTATAAAAACTCATTGCGAAGTGATTTTAAGACGGAAGTGCACTGGAATAGTGATTTTAGGATGAAAATGCATTTAAAATGTAATTTTACTATGAAAATGCATTCGGAAGTGATTTTATTATGAAAATGCATTGGAAAGGGATTTTATTATGAAAATGCATTGGAAAGGTATTTTACTATGAAAATGCATTGGAAAATGAAAAGAACTACATCTTATAAACAACTAAATATTTTGAAACAAAACTTGGTACACAGATAAAGCAACTGTTGGATTGCATATTTATTCGATGTAACAGACTTCAGCTGCAACGATGGAATCGTTAACAAGAATACATCGCATGCTCTGTATTGATATTAGTGGTTAATCTGGTAATATCGGCTTCCAAGGAATCGGTCGTATTGTGTGAACTTTGATTAGTTTCCCGTTAAATAACACCTCTCAATTAATGGTCAAACGGATTTAGTTTTGGCGTGTTAGTTGGCCATAAATTTGGCGAGATGTTGCCGTGCAGATTGGCTGACATTTAATCTTGGGTCACTGTAGCATTGTGGGCAGATGCAGAGTCCTCCTGAAGCACATACGGCCTTACATTGCTTACAAGGTTTATCCAGGTCTTCACAAAAGTTTTTAGCTACCTAGCCAGTAGCATTCAATCAAAGACCTCTTGAAAGAAGCTTGCTGGCTAACTAACACGCCAAAACTAAATCCAATGCAATTTCATAGTAAAATCCCTTTCCTATGCATTTTCATAGTAAAATCCTTTTCTAGTGCATTTTCATAGTAAAATCCCTTTCCCATGCATTTTCACAGTAAAATGCCTTTCCAATGTATTTTCATAATAAAATCCCTTTCCTATGCATTTTCACAATAAAATGCCTTTCCAATGTATTTTCATAGTAAAATCCCTTTCCTATGCATTTTCATAATAAAATCCCATTCCAATGCATTTTCAAAATCCCTTTCCAATGCATTTTCAAAAAAAATCCCTTTCCTATGCATTTTATAGTAAAAATCCAATGCATTTTCATAATAAAATCCCTTTCCTATGCATTTTTATAGTAAAATCCCATTCCAATGCATTTTCATAATAAAATCAATGAAAGTAAAAAATCACTTTCCCATTTTCATAATAAAATCAGAAAGACCCACACATAGCCACCTGTCATTTCACCGGTTTGCGTTTTGATCGTGGGACATTTTTTTTTTCTCTGAAAAAAACAATCAGTGTATTCCACATTCGGTCTGTATTTTTCAACTTGTTCAGTAATCGTTTTTGTCGGAGCAACCGTTTTTCTCGTGTCTGTGCAGGTATGAACTGCCCTTTCCTCATTGCATATGACTCGTAACGAATGTCCTCATGCACCACATTAAGGGATCCGCCTACAAACGTTCTCATGGACGTTTCGAGATTCGCATCGATAATCTTCTTCCCCCGCTGTCCAAATTGTTGTCTTTTGATACTGTCTGAAAGCTGTGAATGCTTGATGTGCTTCGGTGCAACCTAGCTGGATGCTCCCTTCAGAACTTCAAACGACCTGTCGACTTACAAAAACACGTGCAATGTTAACATCACTGTGCTTTATGGGTATCATAACAATTCGAACATATCTCGTGCATTGACATCCTGAAAGGATAAAAGGACATTAATTGCTATTATATAACTGCAGGGGCACAATGACATATCCTCAAGTAGTGGCCCTGTAATAACTACGTTATTATAATTACTATTGTCCTTCAATTCGTTAGTTTTCAAGACCGTTACGGTCTGATAATGCCTCATAAATAATAGACTATTGATTTTTTTTTCAGAAAGAAAGAAACAAAGATAGAAGCAGATATAGCGAATCAGACTAAGCTGATACAAACAGTTACTACACTTTGATCGTAGCAACAAAAAAAAACGAGAAGTATGGCAACCTTTATAAAAGCAGCATTTTTCAGACGCGAAATATTGACGACAAAAAACGACTAAGGCAATCGCCAAATATCTAGTTACCATAAATAAAATAACATCGTCTGCTGAATTATTTTTAAATTACCGCATTTGACAGCATATAAGGCGCACTTTTAAAATACCCCTGCGTCTTATATGCCATATGTAGATTTTAAATTTGCGATAGTCGGACGAAATTAGCTACCTGGCAACTCCTATTAGCTTAGACTTAAACATCAAGGAGCAATGAAGCACGTGGTTGACAATGCCTGATCACGACCTTACACTTACAGGAAGAATAAAAAGACCCAACATTGCACAAGTCTGCGAATGGATGAAGCAAGCTTGGGATAATAGACCAGAAATTGTTATGAAATCTTTTAAAAATTGTGGCATTAGGAATGTTCTTAATGGAACGGAAGATGACGCATTATTTAACGACGATGATAGCAGTATTGGAAATGAGTATCCGATTTTTGATAAGGAATACGACAAATTTTATGGATTTGAAGATTAATAAAACTTTAATGTTAACTGTACTGTTTTGCTCAATTATAATAAGTGCTTGATTTTCATTTTGTTTCCTTAACTTTAGATATAATAAAGTTTTTATAGGTCCGTGTTTTTTCCTATTATTTTTCGTTCAGTTGTAATCATGGCTTGTTTAACCAAAATAATACTTTATAAATATAGCCTAGGCTGTACCATTTACTAATAATTTTACTAATTTTATTAATTGCTAATTTTTTCTTGATTTTCCTTGATAAAATTGGGGTGAGTCTTATACATCAATGCTAATTCAATAAGCGTTCAATCGTGAAATCAAAGCTAATTCAAGTAAGTGTTCAATTGTGAAATCAAAGCTAATTTAAGTAAGTGTTCAATCGTAAAATCAAAGCTTATTCAATAAGTGTCCAATAAGTGTTTCGGATGTGTTATGGTGAATACTTTTCGCTATTATAATACTTTTATTATTTGTGAATTTTGTTTCCTTGTTTCAGGTGTAGTTATAGAAGTCTTGTCGTGTTTATGACAAGTGAATCTTCCAGGAAAACGTTGTGCTGTATATCTTGAAAAACAGTGTTGCTCAAAGTGGTGTCCGCGGACCTGTGCCGGTACGCAGACCATCAGCTACCGGTACGCGGCAAGTGTCCAGGCCATGCTAAAGAATCATTTGTAAAGATTAAGGTTATATAATTGTTGTTTTTGTGTTAATAAACTGCTTATTTCTTTTATATGTTTTGATATTGAATTATCTTTTGCAAAATAAATGGAAAATAAAAAATAGTCAACTTTTATTATATTCATTATATATATCGTTTCCTGTATAGTCTAATATTACCACGAAATATTCCAGGAACGTGACACATTAAGAAATCAAAACGCCAGTCCGCCATTATTAGATAGCTTGAGAAGAACTGAGGCAGAGGAATGTATTATGCCAATACTGTGTTTCAAAATCAATGAAATCAATCAATCTATCTATCTATCCGCCATATCAGATGGTTTTCTGTTATTTTCCGAATGGTTAAAAAAAAAAGTTTAATTAGTATCTACGAAGATGAGAATTTTAAGATCTTTAAGGGGTCAATGAGTTCATTAAAGAGTGTTATTTAATAAGAGAATGAATGAAAATAATGATTGGTTGATCGAGTGAGTGAGTGAGTGAGTGAGTGAGTGAGTGAGTGAGTAAAGGAAATTTTGATTTCGTAAGTAACTGAGAACCTGCGTGAATGAAGAAATTAAAGACTCTTTGAAAGAGTGATAGTGTGAAACAAAGAAAGAAGAGTTTAATAATTGAGTGAGTGAGTGAGTTAAAGGTGGACTGACTTAGTGAGTGAAATAAAGAAAAGACGGAGCGAATTAAAGGAAGTTTAATTCAGGAAATGAGCTAGTGAATGAAACAAGGATTTAGAGAGTGAGTTAAAGAAACTTGGATTAAGCGATTGAATGAGTAATCTCTCGAGTGAGGGTGTGAGAGAAGAAGTGGCTTCATGAGAGAGTGGGTATGTGCGTAATTTATATGAAAAAGCATTATATGAAAGAAAGAGTGGCTAAAATGAACAGTAGGTGTTTTAAAAAGAAGACAGATTTAGAAAGTGAGGCAATGAGATAAGGAAACAAATGATAAAGTAAATGAGTGAGTGTGCGAACAAGTGAGAGAGTGGGACATTTAGAGCAAGAATCATTGAAACATTTGGGGGAGTTATTAAAATGAACCGTGATTTAGTGAACGTTATAAAGGAAAAGATATTTAGTGAGTGAATGAGATAAAGAAAAATGCGAATCGTGATGGGGGGTGGAATTAACAGAAGAATGATTCAGTAAGTGAGTAAGTCAAAGGACGAATGGTTCAGTGAGAGAGTAAGTGAAAGAAGGAATGATTCAGTGACTGAGTCAAAGAATTAATTGTTCAGTAAGGTAGTAAAGCAAAGAAAGAATTATTCAGTGAGTAAGTTGAAGAATTATTCATTAAGTCAAAGGAAGAATGATTGAGTGAGTGAGTACGTCAAAGGAAGAATGGTTAATGTGAGTGAAGAAGGCAAAGGAAGAATTATTCAGTCAATTAAAAAATGTTTGATTGAGTAAGTCAGAGAAAGATGGATTGAGTGAGTGCGTAAGTCGAAGAAAGAATCATTGAGTGAGTGAGTAAGTCAGATAAAGAATGATTGAGTGAGTAAGTCAGACAAAGAATGATTGAGTGAGTGAGTGAGTGAGTAAGTCAGACAAAGAATGATTGAGTGAGTGAGTGAGTGAGTAAGTCAGACAAAGAATGATTGAGTGAGTGAGTGAGTGAGTAAGTCAGACAAAGAATGATTGAGTGAGTGAGTGAGTAAGTCAGACAAAGAATGAGTGAGTGAGTGAGTAAGTGAGATAAAGAATGATTGGGTGAGTGAATAAGTCGAAGAAAGATAGATTGAGTGAGTGAGTGAGTAAGTCAAAGAAAGAATGGTTCAGTGAGTGAGTAATCAATGGAAAGATTGTGTGAGTAAGTCAAAGTAAGAATGGGTGAGTAAGTCAAAGGAGGAAGAATTCTCTGAGTAAGTAAATCAAAGGAAGAATGGTTTTAATGTAACAGTAAGTCAAAGAATGATACAGCGAAGGTGTAAATCAAACAAAGAATAATTAAGTTTGTGAGTCAAAGAAAGAATGATTCAGTAATTGAAAGGAGAATGATTCAATAGGTGTGTGATATAAATAAATCGTTATTGAGTGAGTCAAAAGAGTTAAAATAAAGGTTAAAAAGACAGTAATTTTGTGAAGGAATAATTGAGCCAGTTATGAAAAAATGTTTTATTGAATGAATCAATTGACGGAAACGTCATTTAGTTTGTAAAATGTAATAATGATTTATTTTCATGATTATCGCTAACAAAAAACGATGTTTTTTACACCTTCAAATACATTAAAATAAAGAAACCTGAATTCCGTAGTTAACTGGAGCAAAAAAACTGCTTGTAAATTTTAACGCCTTCAAAACTAAAGTTCTCCTCATTTATTATCTGAGAGACCTATTTATGCCTTCCTTCAATATGGCTGATGCTATCCTCCCGGAAAGTGACTAATTGAGCCTTCTCGACTTAACGTTCTCTGCTTATAGGCAGTGGAAAGACTATGTTGAATCCATTGCTAAGTCAACTGATAAGAAAGCTGTTTCACTATGTCGGGCAAGACATTTTTTCTCTTCAGAATCTATCTTGTATATCTATAAGTATAACATACGTCCATGCTTAGAATGTTGCTGCCATATATGGTCCGGTGCCCCTGCTATTTGCCTTGAGCTCCTTGATAAGATCCAAAGAAGCATCTGCAATATTACTGGTCCTGATCTGGCTGTTCAGCTCCATTGACTTTCCCACCACTTTAAGGTTGCCTTTTCTATAAATACTTTCATGGTAATTGTCCGAATGAGCTCTTCAATAATGGATCTAGGTGATCGCATCAATTTACAGTTGAGCTGAATGAATGTAGCCGTACATCTTATGCTAACAGCTTTTCTCTCGCACTTCTCGCTTGCGGAAGTACTTTCCGACTGCATGCTTTCCACCCTACTTTAATCTGCAAAAATTTAAATGCAATGTCAGTCGCTATCTGATTACTATCTTCCGTTTTTGCTCATCATTGATGTTTCTATTCTTAACTAGCAGCTATACCAAGCTGGTCTATCAGAAAAAGCCTTCAATTAGAATGGAGCAAAAACAGCATCATGCTTAGATGTAACATAACCTATCTTCTTCAATTACTTTAA